CAAATGAAAAAACCTTGTAAACTATGTTACATCCACAATAAGACCGATATTCATTGTTTACACCTGGAGGACATGTCACGCCGGTATTTTGCAGAGTAAATCCTTCCCAAGAACTGTAGCGCGCAATCCTCTAGAAACAATGCGGTCGACCTCGGTAACAATTCAACTTACCCGCTTCGCTTTATATCAGTGGCAAAAGTCAAAGACACCGATTCGGGTTTATGACGCTGATCCAAGCCTACCTTCCCCGCCGCTGGACGAAGAGTGATCATCCCAAGACCACCCCAGGGCCAATTTAAAGGAGGACAGTCCATTCAAAGCAGGTGGTCAGCTTAGCGTCCCCGTCACCGAGGAGGAGCACCTGACTTAAGACTTTCAAGAACCGTGGAATGATCATCTTAGGGGAGAACTACTTAGGGCAGAGTTTAAAACTGGGAACATTTCTTTTGCGGGTGCATCGACGTAGTAGACACACGACGGCTGTAATGGTGAGAAAGACACCTTGAATTTCGAAGAAGCCTTTAAAAAGTTAGAAAGGGCCTGTACTTCTTGCGGAAGGGAAGACATTTTTAAGAAAGACTGACTCCTAAAATAGGAAAAAGTGATGTTTAAGACAGCCGCTTGATTTCAGGCTGGCTGAATTTAGCCGGCCAAGGACCAGCTAAGTAAGCTACGGATCCCTAGAATACAGATTGTATGGTAACTTTTTCTACCTAAAGACCATTTCTACGGATGCTTTCTATCATTTCTAAATCCCACGCACCTTCCTGTAAAATTTGGCCCACAGAAACAAAGGCTCCTGTGATGGTTAGATCTGGCTTTCTAAACCCAACAGCCACTTTACCAGTTCGGACCAGTTCAGGCGAACCCCCTTGTTCCGATGTTTAGTTTGCTCCAAACTGTTTTGCTGCAACGAGGAAGTGCACGATCACCGAACCGGTTGTTATGCCAATGGAATCCCACCCTTGCCAGCAACAACCTTGAAAGGGGTGTCTGTGTGTGTGTCTTAAATATCCCTATCCGATATATCATGTATTTAGGTCCCCTGATGTAGGTCATTTTGAAAAACGGGAGCAGGAGAAATATTTATTCAACTATGTGTTTCCAGCTTTGAGGGCTAAGCAGCAGCAGCAGCAACCAGAAACCAAACCCACAAACACACGCACAAAAAAGGGTATTTTGTCACAGATCTCCATACTTTCAACTAAATATCACCCTGCTCAAAGATATTAGGAGAGTTGTGGGGTGGGTGGGGAGAAACCTTATTAACATTTTGTCCCAGAATTCTGGCACTTAACAGTAGCAGCAACTGAAAATTATTTGCTGGGGAATTCCCCCCCCCCCCCCGGTATTTTGAGTGAAAGAGGAATTCCAGATGAATTGCGCAGACCCAACGAACGGGGAAAGCTGAGCTGGCAGTGGGGAAAAAAAGGAAGGGGGAAAATGTAATAATAAAAATAAAAAAAGAGAATTTAATAGTCTTATAATGAAGTCGTTGCAGCAGCTCCTGTCCTCCTTGGATCTCCTGGGGCTTCCAGACAAGTTTCAAAGCTTGCCTCACGATACCAGAGAGAATGCGGTGTCTTTTGTCAGTCGCTTCTTAAGTTTGCATCTATTTCGGGGAGAGTCCAGGTCCCTGCAAAAAATCCTGCAAGAAAAGAGAAAGAAAAACAAAAGTGCTCGTGAAATGTCTGTTATCAGAGCCCTCAAATGGATTTATTTAATTTTAAAATATATATTATATATATTTGTATGTTCCAGCATAACTCTGGAATGCCTCGAGCAATTTTCACCAAACTTGGTACACAGATTACTTAGTCTCTGGAAACAAATACTGTGGGAGTAAGATACCCCTAACACCTCTTGGGGTACATGTTAAGATACAGCCCGTTGTTCAAATGGCTTCTACCGTACTGCCTTAAAATGACTTCTACTGTACAGTACTGTGGAGTTGCCATGGTAACGGCTGCACAGTACTCCACAAGGGGGTTTTCTCTGGTAAGGGGGAAAGTCCAGCATTACAAATTACGCTTGTTCCGAGTCGCTGAAATCAGGGCTTTTCCTGTATAATACAGGATTAGGATAAATAAATAAATACCTGGGCAACGCTGGGTTATTGGCTACTTTAATATAATTATGCTGAAGATCGGTTAACAATTGATTACGAAGACACTGCACGGTGAAGGGTCTGAACTTGGTTGATTTTTAAGTGCCACTGGAGAAGCAAACTTAGTTTTCTGAAATGCCTTGAAGTGGGGTCCTTGGGGCTCTCTGAGCTGGGTTTGTTTTCTTGCAGATGTTTCATCACCCAACTAGGTAACATCACCAGTGCTAGAGGGGAGGCAGGGATTGCAGCAAGGAGGGGGAAGAAGAGAAGGAGGACCGTGGGGTCCTTGGCACTCTGAGATTTTGCCTGAAGTAGGCTTTCCTGCCTAAGCAGGGGGTTGGACTAGAAGACCTCCAAGGTCCCTTCCAACTCTATTCTGTTCTACTTCTTTTCTGGCAGACGTTCCATGACCCAAGTAGGTAACACCATCAGCGATACAAGGCAGTGGGCTCTGCGCTGGTGATGTTACCAAGTTGCGTCACGAAAGCCTGCAAGGAAAGAGCCAAACTCGGGGAGCACCAAGGAAAACCCCAACATTGTTCCTCTACTGCAAAGCCCTCATATTCGAGGACTACCTGTACTTTTAAGAGCCAGGCCAGGAAGATAAACACACATCGAAGTCAGTGACATCATCGATAATCCCCAAAGTTTGCCTCCTCATTTACCTGGGGCACAAGGGACAACGAGACTGGCCTGGCTTTTAGCTCCCAGCATTCAAACTCAGCCACCAAGTTCCTTGGGACAAATCCTGCTCCTCCTCCATCGTCCCCGTCCCCCCCACCAGTGGAAAGCCCAATTAGCCTTCGGAAGAAAACAATGGCTAAAAGTATGCAATAATTAGAAATGGCTTTCACTCATTGCTCTAATTTCCTTGCTGGGTTTGACAAAAGGGTGTTTCTGAAATCCGAGCTACGGCGAGTCAAAATTGGCCCCTTAGGAGAGGTGGATTCCGCTGAGGCTGCTGTTCACTGGCATCACGTCAAGCAAAGCAGGGCCAGCTATTTTATAGAATCAGCTAAAGCAGATAAAATAATAACAATAACAACAATAATAATAATTATTATTAAAAAGACTGGAAGGCAAAGACGACTATTCTGCGAGGCAGTTCTGGAGCATCTGATCTGGCAAAATCCTTCCGATGTGCAGGACCATAAATACACGGCCTCTCCATTTATGACTGCCCGAGTCAAATATTGAACACAACAGAATAACCGAGTTGGAAGGGACCTTGGAGATCTTCTAGTCCAACCCCCTTCCTGTAGTTTAAGGCGGGTTCTTCTGTGCTAATTCTTTCTTTGATGGTCTCATTTCTGATTTTATCTCCCGCAGTTTTCCTCAGCCATCTCATTTCCGTGGGGACGGAAACATTTATGTTTTGTCGTTAAGTGTCCACGTGTGGCACTTGTACAGAACAGAATGGAATAACAAGAGTTGGAAGGGACCTTGGAGGTCTTCTAGTCCAACCCCCTGGCTCAGGCAGGAAACCCTATGCCATTTTAGGCAAATGGTTGTCTAGTCTCTTAAAAACTTCCAAGCGTTGGAGCATTCGCAACTTCTGGTGGCAAGTTGTTCCACTGGTTAATTGTCCTCACGATTAGAAAGTTTCTCCTTAATTCCAGGTTGCTTCTCTCCTTGATTAGTTTCCACCCATTGTTTCTTATCCTGCCTTCAGGGGCTTTGGAGAATAACTTGATCCCCTTCTTCTTTGTGGCAGCCCTTTAAGACCAGGAGTCTTCAAACTTGACAGGTTTAAGACTTGTGGACTTCAACTCCCAGAATTCCTCCTCCAGTTAGCTCAGGCATTCTGGGAGTTGAAGTCCACAAGTCTTAAACCTGCCAAGTTTGAAGACCCCTGCCTTAGACATTGGAAGACTACTATGATGTCACCTCTAATCCTTCTTTTCATTAAACTAGACACACACAGACATTTAAAGACTTGCGATGGAGAGGCAGCGTAGGATAAAGATTAACAGGGTTGGAAGAACCTTGCTAGACAGTTCTGGAAGATCCGATCTGGCAAAATCCTTCCAGTGTGCAGGACTACATATATATGGCACATCCAATTTTTATTGCCCAAGTCCAATATTTAACACAACAGAATAACAAGAGTTGGAAAAACCCTTGGAGGTCATCTAGCCCACTCCCCTGCTCAAACAGCTGTCCGTCTCAGTAACTTGGGAGCTCAAATGCAGTTGTACGTCGAGGATTACTTCAATTTATGACTGAGGATTAGAGAGGGTGAACTTGAATGTAGCCAGACACACCGATCTGGCTACAAGTCAGTTCTGTCTTACAGATTAACAGAGTTGGACCTTGTAGATCATCTAGTCCAACCCCCATGCCCAAGCAGGAGACCCCCACCCCATTTCTGAGAGATGGCAATCCAATCTCTTCTTGAAAACCTCCAAGGATGAAGCTCCCACAACTTCTGAAGGCAATCCATTACACTGATTAATTTTTCACACTGTCTGTAAATTCCTCCTTATTTCCAGATTAAATCTCTCCTTGATCAGCTTCCATCCATTATTCCTTGTCTGGCCTTCAAAGGTGCTTTGGAGAATATCTTGACCCCTTCCTCCTCCTCTCTGGGGCAGCCCCTCAAATATTGGAAGGCTGCTCTCCTGTCTCCCCTGGTCCTTCACTTCCCTAGACGAGCCAGGCCCAGTTCCTGCAACCGTTCATCGTGTGTTTTAGTCCCCAGTCTCCTCATCATCCTGGTTGCTCTTCTCTGCACTTTTGTGTTTTTTTTCCAAAAGAGATGCTGACACAGTAAGAAACCAGCTTCCCACAAGTTCAAAAGAAAGAAAATGCCGTAGTTGACCGACCAGATACTAAGTCTGTGTAAACAAGGCAATCTTCTTGCTCAGAAGCATGCAAGGGGTCAGCCAGGGTGTATCTCCCCACGCCTCCTTTTCTGTTATGTAAGGAGCAGCCCTCTTTTTGGACAAGCCCCATTCCTGACTCAGCTGTGGTCCAAGGGGGGATAGGGACAGACGGCTAGGCTTCCCCTCCCCACCCCGAGGGGAAAGAAAGAACAGCCAAAGGGGCAGCTCTGTCCCAGCCTTTTGTGTTCACCGGATTCACGTGTAAGCATCCTGAATTTTGAAAGGTTTTTTTTTTTTCTTTTCCCCCAGAGGGCAAAGCCTGGTTATACAACCCCGCATCGTGGCGTGTTACGGGCACGATTGCAACTGGCATAGCCAGACGGATTTGAAAAGTTGGGTGGGGAGGATAAGAACGAAAAAAAAAGGGGGAAATAAACAGAGATGGAAGGCAAACATCGGTGCTCCAAAGCTGACCCCCGAGGAAGGGAAAGCATTCCTCTGGAGCTTTGATGCCCTCATAAACAAGTCTGGCAAACGGAGAGACTGGCGGCTTACATAATCCATAATCATCTCCGTGCCTGAGAAGCAGATGTCTACAAAAAGGATCAAAGAGATCTGGACAGGTACTCTTAAAAAAAAAACCAAAAAAAACAGTTCAGTCATGTCCCGGGGAATGCAAAACTTCACTCTTCTTTCTTCCTGGGAATTAATCTAAAGCATGTGGACGTTTCTAAAACCAACGATGGTTCGAAGTATCGCTTGTGTTTGGATTACGGAGAGGTCAGGCAAGGCTTCTTCCGTCACGTGGCAAATGTATTTTAGTTTTATTTTATTTATTTGTACCCTGCCTTTTATTGTTTTTACAAATGGCTCAAAAGGTGGCAAACCTACCCAACACACCTTCCTCACCTTATAAGGCCTTGGGAAAGACCCCACTTGGTATATTGCAACCCAGTTTTGGTCGTCACGATATAAAACGAGATGCTGAGACTCTGGAAAGACGGCAGAAAAGAGCAACGAAGAAGATTTGGGCTAAAATAGGAAGAATCGTTTTTAATCTAGTTTAATGAAAAAGAAGGGCTGACATGATAGCATCTTCCAATATTTGAGGGGCTGCCCCAAAGAAGAGGGAGTCAAGCTATTCTCCAAAGCACCTAAAGGAGAAAAAAGTAACAATGGGTGGAAACTAAACAAGGAGAGGAGCAACTTAGAACTAAGGAGGAATTTCCTGACTCTTAGAACAATTAATCAGCGGAACAACTTGCCACTAGAAGTTGTGGGTGCTCAAACACTGGAAGTTTTCAAGAAGAGATTGGACAACCATTAGTCTCAAATGGTATAGGGCCTCCTGCCTGAGTAGGGGGTTAGACTAGAAGACCTCCAAGGTCCCTTCCAACTCTGTTATCTGTTATCCTCCTAGCTTCCCCACAACAACTACTTAACTGTGGCAAGAAAGGTTGTAAAATGGGGCAAAACTCACTTAACTGTTTTGCTTAGCAATGGTAATCTGTGGTCGTAAGTCAAGGAGTACCTCCACTTCTTGAATACTCATTATTTGGATATCGAGCTTGGTCAATATGGTTTATTATTTTAAAGGATTGATGCAACAGCGGGTATCCGTGTTAAATTAATTACCAACAGCTGAAAACAACAAGATCAATAATGGCGCCGCACTTCCTCCAAGCTTCATTTTGGAGCCACTATTTGCTAAGGGGC